CCATTGGAATAGAATAAAGGACCCAGAAATAAATTCATGCACCTTCAGCCAACTGTCAACATAGGTGCCAAAAACATACACTGGGGATAGGATAGCCTCTTTAACAAATGATGCTGGGAAATCTGGATATGCACATTTAGAAGTTTTAAACTTGACTCTTATCTTCTGCCCTGTATAAAATGAACACAAAATGGATCAAAGATCTTAATGTAAGATCTGAAACTCTAAAACTATTAGAAGAAACACTTCAAGATATTTGTATAGGCAATGATATTTGTACAGATAGGGCTTCAAAAGCATACTAAACAAAATGAGATTATATCAAATTAAAAGCTCTGCATATCAAAGGAAACAATCAACACAGTGAAGAGACAACTTACCAAATAGAAAATCTTTGCTAGGTGTTCATCTGGCAAAAGGTTAATATACAAAATATATAAAGAACTAAAAAAACAACAAAAACAAAGTGATACAATTTAAAATGGGCAAATGGTCTGATCCTTCTTAAAAGAAGATGGCTAATAAATATATGAAAAAATGCTTAATATCATTAGGCATCAGGGAAATGCCAATCAAATTCCAATGAGATTTCATCTCACTACAGTTAGAATGGCTATTGCAAAAAAACAAAGGATGTGGAGAAAAAGGAGCCCATCTGTACTGCTGGTGGCAATGTAAGTTACTACAGCCATTATGGAGACCACAGAGAACAATATGAATGTTCCTCAAAACACTGAAAATATGACTACCATATGATCTTCATTTTCCAAAGAAAATGAAGCCAGGGTATAAAAGTGATACCTTCAAATTCATATTTATTGTGGCTCTATTCACAATAGCTAAGATATGGAATCGGCATTGGTGCCTGTCAACAGATGAATGGATAAAGAAAAATACTCCAGACATACAGTGGAGTATTATTCAGAATGAAATCCTGTCATTTGCAGGAAAGTGGATGAAACTGGAGGACATAATTTTAAGTGAAGTAAAGTTAGATATAGAAAATCAAGTAGTTTACATTTTCTCTCATATGTAGAAACAAAAACAAAGCAAAATAAGCAAAACCAAAAAGAACCAAAAAATATATGAAAGTTGAAGAGGAATGGGAAGGAGGGGACGGGGGAAAGGGTAGAAGAAAGGAGATGTATGTGATCAATGCAAATGTATGCATGTATGGAAATATCAGTGAATTTATTAATTTGTACAATTAATACATGTTAATAAGAAAGAAATGAAAATATGAAATTTCATGAAAGAGGATAGACAGATTGCAAATAAGCACATGAAAAGATATTGTGCATCATTATACATTAGAAAAATGTAAGTTAAAAACACAATGAGATATTACTATATGCCCAGCCGGTACAGCTAAAGAACAGATTAATGCTGATGCATGTGACAACTGAATGAATCTGAGACCTATGTTGAGGGGAAAAGCCAGTCTCCAAAGGTTACATATAATATGATTTCATTTATTTAACACTCTGGAAATGAAAAAAACTGTAGAAACTAGGGAATGACAGATTAATGACTTTGGAGGTGAGGGGATGGCATGGGAGGGGAGGGATCCTATACTGCTGGAAATGTTCTGCATCTTGGGTATGTCAGTTTCATTACCTTGATTGTGACTTTGCACCATTGGACTGTGCAAGATGTTACCATTGGGAATGGGCAAAGGGTATATTGGAATTTCTCTGTATTACTTTTTACAATGGCCTGTGAATCCACAATGATTTCAAAATAAAGAGTTTAATTTTAAAAAGAAATTACATCAACCATGAAGAAGAAGATAGAAAATGTTTACTAGAATTCATTAATTTTACCAGTTACAGGCTCCTTATTGTAAACTATATAAAGTAATAGCTCAAGGGCAATGTAACAACATTAACAGTCAAATATTTAGTGGTTGTAGCGATGATTCTAGAGCACAAAGAAAAGATCAGACCACATTTATCATGATCTACATAAGAGCTCACATAAAGGTACTTTATGTTTTAGATTTACATAAAAATGTTAAAATAGTTCTTATAAGTAATCTATTTCTGACAATTCCCTCATGCATCTAGACTCCTCCGACCTTACCTACTCAATCCCAAATCCATCCTCACCCCCACCGGCTTGCCCAGCTCATGACTACAGCTTTTTTTTTTTACTGCACTTCTGCCTCTAGCTGGGCTTCCAGCTCAGCGTCTGTGCCTTTGCTATAATCGGCTAACATGTAAATCTGATCATGACACTTCTCTGATTTTACTCCTTCAATAGCATGTAAACACAATTTCTTTGGACTCTATCTCAGGATAAATTATTTGATTTCTTTAGATGGGCAGAAAAATTACTTTATGAAATGTCTCCTGTTAACTCTACAGCTTCATTCATCTTCTGACACTCTTCTACATTTTCCAGTACATCAGCCACATAAGACTTCTGTCTTATATAACATCAGGCTTTTTGCATATTGGCTCTCTGAATAAAACTCTTTTCCTCTTCATGTCCCTGGCTAAACAAGGCTAACTGGTAGACTACTGTTTCAGGAGTTCTTCCTTTCCTGTACTTTATGAGATGTGTTTCTATAGTGCCATGTAGGTGACTTTATCATAGCTGTTATTGCATAGCATTGTCAGTTTTCATTATTCACTACAAGTAATTCGAGGGTAGGAATTGTACCTCTTATTTTTATCTCCCAGAGTATGATAACTTAGTTTATTAGTAAATGCTAAACAGTGAAAGGTAACTTCCAAATATACTAATTTTTCTCTAATTAGTGAGTGCATTGGCCATGAATATTTAAATCTAGTGATACAAACTTACTTGAATCTAGTTACATATTTTCAGCTTTACCATATGGAAGATCAATAAATATGATATTATTTAAAATATAATCAATCCATCCTTCTTTATTCTATGAGTTTTTTTCATGCTTTATGGGAAACTCCAAACTCTATCATTCTCAAAAATAGATAATGCAGCTACCCATTCTTTATGTTCAACTGTGTAATTACTTTCATTGGTTCTCTAGGTAATTATTTCTCCTCTTAGAATATCTCAGTAATCCTTTTAAATTATAGAATTTCCTGACTCCTCCAAGACCTTTCCTTGGTCCTTGTCTTTCTTATTCTGCTGGTTAGTTACATAGGAATTTTGTCTTATCATCTGAACTTGTAAGTCTATATGCTTACATTATAGCATTTTATAACTATAGGAAGTCTCCCTTTGGGCCCCTTACTCTTAAATTTATCAATTTCTTTTCCTTATGAAGTTGTATTAAATCAGATTATTGCCATTTTCTAAAATTTAATAGGAGGCTGAGTAGAAGCATCACTTCAGCTCAGGGGTTTGAGACCAGCCTGGGCAACACAGTGAGACTCCATTAAAAACATTAGACCAACAAAATGGATTCTTTTCCTGCCATAATGTTGACTCTTTGGAACTCAGCTATGCAATGCTGAAAACAAATTCTCATTCACTTATTTGCCAAAAGATAGTACTAGACTGAAAACAATGTAGAAGATAATTTATATCATGTGTGTATGTATGTACCCTAAATTAACTGGTCTACAAAGTAGCATGTTAGAAAGTTCATTTAGGTTATGTTTCATCAAATAATATATTAAAAAGCACAAATAAAGGGACAAAATGGAATGAAATAAATTGTGAGTCCAAAGCCCAAGAGCAATAAAGGAAATTTCCAGAACACAGTAATCAGCTTAAAAGGCAACCAACACCTCTGGGAGCAGGAAGATGGAGGGAGAACGTTTTTGGAGGGAAACAGAGGAACTCCATCTTATCGATCTTGAGTGAGAGAATGGAAAACATGAGAATGTGAAAAAAGCATACAATGCAAGAAAACGCTGGCTAATAGACGTGCAAAGAAACTGTCAATAAGAAAAAAATAAACATGTAATTTTAAGCAGTTAATGAAAATAAACAGCATTTGATGCTAGGAACATTTTTCTTTGACTTCTGCTGGGGACACAACACTGGTAATGCCCAAATGTACTGACAAATGGCAGAAAGAGATTGTCTCTACCTGAAGAAAAAAAAAAAAAACTTAAAAAAATTCCATGATCACAATGTGAGGAGACAGCATAAACCCAGATGAAACCTGTAGTCTTACTGAATACCTGCCATGCAACTTTGGCTTCAGAAGCCAAAACATAAGAGAAAAACTAACACATACATGCAAAAAAGCCAAAGTAAACTTCATTAAATAAAATCCAAGTACACTGGACAGGGAAAGGGTTAATCTAAAGAGAAATAAAATGTCAGAAAAATTACAGGTAAACAATTTTGTATTCCCCAAATGGGATTTGCAGCATATACCCAATGATGTAGTTACTAAACTCTGGGGATTTTCCGCTCTTCATGTATTATAGGAATATGAATAACATAGGGAAAACAACAATAAAAAATCATAAAGCAAGTGTCTTCAAAAAGTCTATTATTAAAAACATCCTAACATGTTAAGCAGTGCTTTCACTTTATTTTAGTTTCTAGTTTACACGAGAAAACCTTTTTGAAGGCAGTAATTTATAAATTCTAATTATCACATTTCTAACATTCATATTTCTCCCCATTTTTGTGGCTTACTATACAAGGGTGATACACATAGGGAAATTATACAAAGCAAATAATAAATGAAAATCAACTTATGTTCTAGTAAGAATTAAATAATCGCTACTTTTCAAAATTCATCATGAAATGATAAAAACCAAAGAAGATAATATATTTTATAGTCATTTAAGGAAGTGTAAATGATAGCATAACAAACTGTTCTGTGACAAGAAAAGACTGCTGAGGTCACAAGTTAGTGAGGTGGATGATATATCACTATTTTTGTGCTTTAGGCAGAAAATCAATAATAAAATTTACAGAGCCACACGAATCTTGAACAGCAGTTTATAAAGTACTGCCATGACTTCATAAAGTGCTACCAACGGAGAAACTATTAACTTGCATCGACTTTGAGTTGCTACACTTCTGAATGAAATATAGTTACTTACTTTTTTCTCCGGTTTGACTCCACAAAATATTTACGTGCTCGATTTCGACATATTTTTTGTTGCTGCAGTAAGATTTGGCGTTCCACTTCTAAATTTTTCTCCAGGTGGATTTTCATGTCTCTAATGAAGCATTAAGTTAAGAACAACAGTTTATGTCTTCAGTGGTTAAGTGTCAGGACTATCTGACAAATATAATTCCAGTCCCATACTAATGATGTAATGATGCTCTTATGGAACAATTAGTAGATGTACACATTAGTGTTAGTGTATGATCAGCAGATGTTTTATAAAAAATTCAACCCTGGTATTAGGATTGAAGGTATGTGTCACTTTCTCTGCGGGGGAATAAATTACTTTTAGAAATCATGATCTCAGATAAGGAGACTTTGTATCTTGATTTATTTCACAAATACTTGATCATTTACTAACAAGTTGTTGTCTTAGGAAGATATACAAGGAAATGAAAGGAGGATACATTTCACTAATAGGAAGTAGATGAAAATTTCAACAGATCCTGTACTTTATAGCATGAAATTAATATTCTAACATTTAAAAATCAAATATAATTGGGATGTTTGGAAATATAGTTTAGTGATTTACATATAGGTCACAAAACAACACTTGGACAACCATGCATAGTCATTTGTGAATCCAGAAGTTTTCTAGAGAAGAAAGGGATTATTCTGGTTATTCTAATCATTTGAAATTTATTATATATAGCTAAACTTTAAGTAAGTTGTATTAATATGGATAATTGGGTTCCCCAATTTATTTGTATTTTGACTATCATTATCAAATTTGTCACAGTATTTTTTCATTTCTCATGATTTTGAATAAAAAATGTTCATTGAATTGCCACTTAACTATTTAGTACCTCATCACTAAATGTAGATATGAGATTAGCCTGAAGGTGTAGATCGTAGGGCATTCCTACTAGTCTTTTTGAGAATCAATAACTACTTAAAAGTTTTTTCTTTCCCCCAAAAATTGAGGCTCAAAATTTTCTTAGGAGATCAATTTAATCAAGATGCCATAAGCTAGCTATTAATAGTAGTACAGAGTATAAGAAATACACTTAACAATAAGTTATGCTGTACATAGGTTATTAATTCAAGATGTATTAATTTCAGAATGCTATCATGCTTCAACATCAATATTATAAAGAAATTCTATTATAAGTTTTAAATAATATTTATTTAAATTTTATGGTTGCTTAAACCTTTTATAATGGGAGTTTGTTTTTGATTTATTGCAATTTAACCATCTTTCTACCATAGTCATAATTCAGCTTATCCCTTTTTAAAATAAAATTTTATATTATTTCAACACAAATACCCAAATATACATACACATGAACTTTATTTAAAGGTTTCTTCTGAAGGATTTATAAAAATGAGACAAAAAGGGAAGGACATTTTGTTCATTGGTAACACAGAAACAGATATATCTATGTCATGTTCTTCTCTAATAGAGTATTTTATTAGGAACCAGATTTCAAAAAGATAGTTAACTACTTAAAAGTCATGTCTCAGCATTAGAATAAAATACATCTGCATTCTTTCAAGACATACAGGGGAACATGGTGGGAGTGGCAGGGAGAAGCTGCTTTGGGTCAGGTGGGAGCATGGGGGACTACACTGCAGGTGGAGACAATTCTGTTCAACATGTTTGAGATGCTACAAGAACACATAGAAGAATCACAAACGTAATGTCTATAATGTTCTGACAACTATATATTCTTAAAGTTAGTCAAATGGCTCCTATAACAATATAGTACATAGGATATACAGTACACATAAAAATGTATAGTACAATTCTTGCCTGCCATATTATAATGCTGCTATCTTTTGAATATATTGGTATTCAGGTTTAAAAAATATTAGATGGATGGTTAAAGCTTTGCTTTTTTTTTCAAGCTGTTCCATAAAGGAAGGCAGTTTCCATAAGAATCACTTCTAAACATGTCCAAAAGGTCATTTTCATATACTAAATATTAAAACAAAACAAAGAATACTGTGGGTATCCATCTCCTCAATCTTTCCCAACTGCATTAAAATATACTACCAACTCAATAACAACCTATTTCCTTGCCAAACCTATTAAATCTACCTTAATTCTTTTTCTCTATTTCTTCTTTGTACCCCCTTTCTGTTATGCTGGCTCAGGCACTCTTAATCCCTCCTCTGGTACCTCAGTACTCTTCTAACTCATCTCTTTACTCATAAACTGACCAGTCTCCACTGAACCTCTATAATGCCAGCAAAATGCAAGTCTGATTTTCTCATGCTTTATTGTTTTTCAAAAGATGGTTATTGCCTTGATCCTAAATCTCAAATTTTTATTATCATATTATTGCTGTATTAGGGGGTATACTGTGACATTTACAAAAGTTTTTATATCACAGTTGATTTCACCACCCCCCATCATTCTCCTTTATCCTACCTCCCAAATCTCAAATTCTTGGACTTGTATGTAAAACACTCTACAAGCTGGTCTGTTTTTTCAACTTCATTTTTCAATATTTCTCTGTATGAATCCTATGCCCAGCCATAATAAGAATAAGCCATGATGTATCATCCCATTATCTCTTGGACATTCTTGGCTAATTCTACTCATCCTTTCAGGGCAACTTGAAGCAGATCTTTACCTGTGAAGCCTTGTCTCACCTCCACCAGAAGGCTGCATGGAACCTCCATGAACATCACATGTATCCTATACATTTTTATAACTACAATGCATGGCACAGTTCCTAGACTATAATAATGGCTTACCAGAAGCTTACTAAAGAGTTTCCTCGGGAAAAATTTTCTGAGGCAGATGTAATAGGATAAAAGGCATGTTCATTTTTATACTTTTTTTTCAGTGTTGGGGACCAAACTCAGGGTCTTGTGCATGCTAAGGTAAGCACTCTTATCACTGAGCTACATCAGCAACCCATTTTTAATGAATTGGTGAAAAGTGTCTTCTCAAGCAGTTATAAAAATTTATATGTCCTTAGAAATATATGTAAGTTTCAAAACCTCATGAATATAGGGAAGGACTTTATTTTTACTTAGAAAGATGAGGTAAAAACTTTATATATGTATTAGCAAGATAAGAGTACTTTCTGTGTTGATTACCAGTTTTACTTTTCTTCTTCGTAAAGTCATTATTTCAGATTCAGTGGCCACTTAGCTACTGAGAACTTGGTGTCTTAAGTCAATTTCAGTAACTTTAGTCAGGTACAGTCAGGTATAGATATTAATCATTTATGTTGTGGTTACTCTTTTACCTGGATATTTCAAGTTTTATGTACTTATACAATTTCTCCTGAAATTGCTTTGAAATTTCTTCTTTCTCTTCAAAAGGTAATGTTACTATGCATTTAAACAATGAAAAATATGACTATTTTCTGTCTGTTTTCTTCTACAATTATATATTTATATTTTCCCTTTTTTTAGCAGCTCAAATTTACTTTGGAATATAGAATACACTGTGACTTAGGGTAGAGACAATGAATATAGACTATTCCATTTTAGAGGCTTGAGTAAGAGATACTATCAGAACATAGCTGAAAGGGTTCTTTGATCAACGGTTTTGATTGTTAGTTTACCTAATTTTAAGTATTGTCAAGACCTGAATATGCTTATCTTCTGTAGGGAGAGAAGGCCATTAAGATTGTTAATTATGAGAGGTGGAATAATTTATAATCCAGGACTACTGAAGAAAAGGATAGAGATAAGGGCAGAATTCATTCTCTACAGTAAAAGTGATACCCCATTAGTGAGCCTGGGATAAAACATTCAGTGGGTTGGGAGTGTGTGGGTTGCTATTTTTTGGTAGGACCTCATGGAGTTCATGTCATCTATGTTTTATAAAGTGGTAAGACAGTCTACTGAGAGTAGTGGGAGGTGACAGAGAACTGGCATAGACATTAAGAGCAATGAAAGAGAAACCTGTTCTATTCAGGTGAAGCTGGAAACCATTAGTCTTTAGATGTACCAATATGTATTGCCTTGTGCATTTTGTTTTCCTGAAAATTTTTTTATTATTCACATGAAGAATTAGTGAAGTAGGACTGTAGTAGTTTCTGGGTGGTTGATACAGGACAAGAGTGTGAAGAACCAAGGACACTGATGAGAGAGTATGTGTAAATGATGAAGAACAGGATAAAAACTGGGTAAGAAAGAGAGTCAAAGGTGAGTATTAGGATGTAGTTGAAAGGTCAAAGACTGGAGATACTTGTAAAAAAAGAAAAGGCATACTATAAAGAGGGGATCTTCCTCCCTCCCTCCCTTTTTCCCTTCCTTCCTTTCTGTATTGGGGCTTCAACTCAGGGCATACTATCAGTTGAACCATATCCCCAGTCCTTTTGCTTTTTGTGTTTTTTTGGATAGGATCTCATGTTTTTGCCCAGGCTGGCATTGGCAGGTGATCCTCCTACCTCTGCTCTCCCAAGTAGCTGAGATTCCAGGCATGTGCCACCACTCCTGGCACTTTTTTTCCCCTTAACTAACATCATTATATTTTTCATAAGAGATTAAAATGATAGTACTTAAGTTCATTGTAATCAGATAAACATTATAAGGTTTGGTTTTTTTATAGCCTTTACAGTGAGGAAATTCTAACTCTAGCTAGAAAACATCTCGAACAGAAAACTAAGTCTCTGAGTGTTCCTATTTGAAAATCACTTCTAAATTTTTTTTTACCAAGACACCTGCTTATTTTAAGTCTATGATTCCTTCGTTTTTTTTTCCATTTAGTCATTCATTTAATATAGTTGAGCACCTACTCTGTACCCAGAAATCCAATGGGAAACATTACAGATACTAAAAACAGTCAAAAAAACACTAACATAATAGATGCCTTAGTGTTTTTCCAAGTAGGAAACAATATTCTTGATTTACTGTCATAGTCTTTATTATGTTCAATTTCCAAATTTAAATTTATTATGTAAACATATGTATGTATGCTAGCAACTATATAAACCAGCAAAGACACACACACACACACACACAAGTAAGAGTTATTGTCGATTTTGGTCATCTATTGAAGTAATTAATTACAACTTGCTTCCTTTTAACTACATAGTCTTTAAGTATGTTTTTAGTAATTTACTTCTATAAATAGGGGAGCATTGTATTTTGGAATAAAGTCTTCTTGGTTATATTCATCTGACATATTGCTGAATTCTATTTACACATTTTTTGGTGTTTGTATCAATGTATCACATAATTAAAAAATGAAGTTCATGATTATTTCATTAATGAAAAGGATGGAAAGACACATGCTTTGTCAATGAACCACTTCCCTGTATTCTGACTTAGAGACAAATTAGGGTCAACATAACAGGAGTGTCCAAAACATACAATGTCAAGGGGGAAGAATCAAATTAATACAGAAGACAATCCTGTTTCTTTCAGAGCAGTCTCTGATAAGACAATTTATAGGAGCAGCAAGGGTAAAAGGCAAACCAAGTGGGGTTAATGACAAATAGAGGAGCTAGAAGCTGCTACTGCAGGTTACAGTTTTGAGAATTTGGCTAAAGAGAAGACAATAGGGATGGACACTTGAGGAAAGCCTGATGGGGGAGGGGTGTTTTACCATTAGCGGAGCTGCACATACCTGTCTTCCTCCAGAGACTTGTGTCCCTAGAACAGGATTGGCCAAAGAGCTCACACTCAATTCAAACTTTTTGATGACTTGTTAAAACTGTAAGAGTATAAACATCCCAGAAGAAGCTGGAGACAATGACAACAGGGCTATGAAAACGGGGAGAGGGGGGTGGCTTGGGTAGAAAGCCAGGGGCGTGGTGGTGGTGGTGGGGTTAACTTGGAAAGAGAAGAAACTCCACTACCTGAGAAGAATGAGGATCACACTGCGCCATCACTGCCAGCCAAAACCCTTTGAGAATACAGAGGTTGAATTCTAATTTTCGCAACATTCGCTGAAGGAATAAACCTGCTTTATATATTTTGAAAGTAAGACTCCTTCATTCTGTCAATTTTCAATAGCGCAACCAACAGCACCATTAACGGTGGGCTCAACCAATTCTTAGGGAAAACCCAGACATAACCCAGATCGTGAAGGTGCAGGAAGCTGGCTTCCCGTTTCTTCCCTGCCATCTCTCCGACAACAGCCTGGGCAGAGACGGAAAACACAACCAGCTGGCGAAAGCATGAGGGGTGTGCTGGGTTAACCGTTGAAGCAGACTCCTGGCTACCAGTGCCTTTTCACTTATTTGTGCAACTTCTCCTTCCCAGTAGCACGCGTAAATCAGGACGAATATAACGGGATCATTCTAGAAGGCAAGAAATCTTCCCCAAAGGACACACGATCGATGGATTTTAGAATCCACAAAAGCCTGACAACCCAGTTGAAGAACGGGAGAATCAATATCAGCTTCTTTATTTAATTTCCAAGCTGGAAATTTGAAAGTTTTAAGCATATACTGTAAGGTTAAGACCTCTGGAACTCACCTTTAAACTTTAGGATTTTGGGAAACTAATGAAAATATTTAGGGACTAAAGCACAGGAAATGGATAAGCAGCTATGGACTGGACAAAATGGCACGATTTGGGGTTCAGGGTGGCGGTGGGGGAGGGCGGAAGACGATCGTGCTAAGGCCGAAGTTCTCGCGAGGACGACTTGCAAGCGTCTGCAGCCCGGGCGTCGGGGTCACGGGGGCCTAACGGGGGCCTAACGGGGGCCTAACGGGGGCCTAACGGGGGCCTCACGGGGGCCTCACGGGGGCCTCACGGGGGCCTAACGGGGCGGCCGCCCGTCCCCGCCCCGCCCCCGCGGCCCGCTGGGAAGGATACAGGTAGGCGCCAGGCCGGTGACGCGCGCCGCTCTCGCGATGGCCGACGGGGTTCAAGCCCAGGGCGTCCGAGGACTCGCGGCCCAAGACCGCGCTCTGGGCTCCGGGCCTCCCCGCCAGCATCCTTCACCTGGGCGCCGCCTCCGGGCTGCCCCCCGGCGCCTCCCTCATGGCAGCTTGGCTTCCTCCTCCTTTCCGGCGCCCTCCCCGCACTCGTTCTGTCAGACCCCGCGTCACGGGCGCCCAAGGGTTGGTCGCGGCAATCCCGGCTTCGCGGCGGCGCTGGGGACTGTGGGGGCGACAACGGCAGCTGCGACCGTGCCCGGCAAAAGCAGAGGTTGCGGCAGCGACCCTACCGCTGCCATCTTGACAACCAACGGACGCCGTGTCCTTCGCGACGGAAACCAAGGGGCGGGGCGGAGCGGGAGGGGCGGGGCTTCACGCCCTCGGCAGCCAATAGGAAGCGGAGAGGGCGGCGGCCCCGCCTCTCCCGAGCTGCCCTGTGGCGAGCGGGTAGCGACCCTCTCTGCCCCGGGACCCGGGGGTTGCGGACCCGCACAGCTGAGTTTTGCGTTAGAACCTGATTCCCTTTTTAACGAGGTTGTTTTCGTGGGGGTGTTGGAATGTCTGCGGATGGAAGATCCTCAGATACAAGCCGATATCGCTGGCAGATGCTGAAATGATGGGTTGGGGGGAGGATTTGGGGTTGGGTTTTGTTAACTGTGGAGTCCTGCTGTTAGGTTTTAAGTTGTGAGACTTTTCTGAGGTGTCACAGCCCTCAAGCACCGTACAAATTGCACAGTGGAATTTTCCTCCTCTACATTCAGCCACTCCTTGATGCTTCCGCCCTTCCCTCTCCACCGCCCTACTTAGAAAATAGAGGCTCCTAATGGTGCTTGCTTTGCTGCCGGAGCCTGGAAATGGACCATCACAGCAACCGTGGCCCCCAAAGAAGCTCGATGTAGCCTCAGAATCTGCTGGGAAGACATGCAGACGAGGTCATCTGTACTGGCATGGTTTCAGGAGGTAGGGAAAAAGTAGATGGCGTTTTGAATCTCTGTTTTAATGGCCATGCAAGTGAAGATTTGGAAAAAGGGCTGAAACTTTTGTCGTTGAGCCCAATGTAAAAGCACATATAAATTTCGACTGCATTTCAGCCATTTTGTGTGTGTGTGGAAAAACGCCCAGATTGGAAGCAGAATGTACAGCCCGAATAAAGATCACTCAAACCATTCAAATGTCTCCTCCTCTGTGAATTATTTCCTTCGGTTTTACAGTTCAAATAATAAACGTTTCCAGCTGAAACTATTTAAAACAGAGTTCTTGCAAACTTGGGATATGACTTAAATCGGAATGTGTTCTGGGAACTGAAGTTTTTAAAGTGCCACAACAAATCCAGTTTTCATTTTGAACACAAAATGCTTGAGTCCTGTTCAGGTTAATGCCAAGTGGACAAAATATATAATCCTAACAAAGAGAGTCTAACTGTGTGCACTGGTACAATTAGCTATCTGGGTAACTTTTCTTTTACTAGCCTAGCCGTAACCTTGGCCTTGATTCTATTTCCACTGATAATTACAACTCTGTCTCTCCAGGGCTGATTTGAGAGGAGCAAAGGAGGGCAGTGCAACATAAAAATAAAACTGAAAGGACGTGGTTGCATTTTGGAGCATTGGCATTTTAGCTTTTCCTGAAAGTTTAGCTTTTGCTGTATTATTAATTTAGTAGCTGGACACTTCTAGCCATATTATTCTTTGTTGCATGGTATATTATCATTAAGAAGCATAATTTATTTCCCAATTGCCTACAGATGCTTGCTTATGTAGACATTATTTCAGGGTGGCTTTATAAGGATAATCAAAAAGAAAAAATTTAAACTTGAGGTTGCTAGCTTGTTTTTAACCACAGATTTTTGGCTTTCTATTTAAGTGATTAATGCTATTTAAGTGGTTCAGTCTAGATTCTGGAAAAAAGTCTTTAAGATTAAATATTTGGATAATAGATAATTTGAGGATTTTATAGGACTTTTATCTTTTGACAAGAAAGGTAAATATGATTCAAACAATAAAGAATACACTAAGGTCCTCACAGTATGTCAGGAGAGACATCTGAAGTAAATGTAATACTTAGTTCATTCCTACTTAAAAACCATAAAATAATTCTTTCTCTTATTAAGGAAATATATATTGAATATCAACTATATGTCAAGCACTAAGTAGTGGAGATAAAGTGAATAAAACTTAAAGACTTATGCTCATGCAGTTTATATTTGTTTTCTATCCCAATAAAACATATTTGGGAGTAAAAATGGTATAAGGAAACTGTGGAGTAGTGTGGGGGATAGAGACTGATGTCATTTCTATTTTAGACAGAGTGCTCAGGAATGGCCTCCAAGGAAGGCAAATTAGGTCAGAGGTCTGAATAAAGGAAAGAGGTTGCTATTCAAATATCTGCACAAAGAGCGTTATAAATACAGGGGGCTGTGAGGACAAAAAGCTCTGTGTTCAGAATCATATTGGTCTCTTCAACACCAAGAAAAATCTCAGTTGGCTGGAGCAGAATGAGGTAGGAAAGGGTGCTGAGATAGCTGCGGAGAAGTACGTGGCCTGAATTTACTGGGGACTTACAAACAAGGACTTAACATGAAATCCAGCTTCAGTGGCAAAAAGCCCATCACAAAAAAAGGACTGGTGTAGGTCCTGAGTTCAAGCCCTAGTACCAAAAAAAAAAAAAAAAATTGTTCAGGATTATGTGATGATGGAAGAGCTGAGATTGGAACTCAAGTTGCCTAAATCCAAAACCTATGGTCTTTATCAAAGAAAGGAGAGTCCTTAGTTGTGGGAAAATGATTTTTTTTTTTTCTATTGCTCAGGACATTCTGAGTTTTATTTATTTATTTTTTTTCATTTTTCTTTTATTATTCATATGTGCATACAAGGCTTGGTTCATTTCTCCCCCCTGCCCCCACCCCCTCCCTTACCACCCACTCCCCCCTCCCCTCCCCCCAATACCCAGCAGAAACTATTTTGCCCTTATCTCTAATTTTGTTGTAGAGAGAGTATAAGCAATAATAGGAAGGAACAAGGGGTTTTGCTGGTTGAGATAAGGATAGCTATACAGGGCATTGACTCACATTGATTTCCTGTGCGTGGGTGTTACCTTCTAGGTTAATTCTTTTTGATCTAACCTTTTCTCTAGTTCCTGGTCCCCTTTTCCTATTGGCCTCAGTTGCTTTAAGGTATCTGCTTTAGTTTCTCTGCTTAAGGGCAACAAATGCTAGCTAGTTTTTTAGGTGTCTTACCTATCCTCACCCCTCCCTTGTGTGCTCTCGCTTTTATCATGTGCTCATAGTCCAATCCCCTTGTTGTGTTTGCCCTTGATCTAATGTCCACATATGAGGGAGAACATACGATTTTTGGTCTTTTGGGCCAGGCTAACCTCACTCAGAATGATGTTCTCCAATTCCATCCATTTACCAGCGAATGATAACATTTCGTTCTTCTTCATGGCTGCATAAAATTCCATTGTGTATAGATACCACATTTTCTTAATCCATTCGTCAGTGCTGGGGCATCTTGGCTGTTTCCATAACTTGGCTATTGTGAATAGTGCCGCAATAAACATGGATGTGCAGGTGCCTCTGGAGTAACAGTCTTTTGGGTATATCCCCAAGAGTGGTATTGCTGGATCAAATGGTAGATCGATGTCCAGCTTTTTAAGTAGCCTCCAAATTTTTTTCCAGAGTGGTTGTACTAGTCTACATTCCCACCAACAGTGTAAGAGGGTTCCTTTTTCCCCGCATCCTCGCCAACACCTGTTGTTGGTGGTGTTGCTGATGATGGCTATTCTAACAGGGGTGAGGTGGAATCTTAGTGTGGTTTTAATTTGCATTTCCTTTATTGCTAGAGATGGTGAGCATTTTTTCATGTGTTTTCTGGCCATTTGAATTTCTTCTTTTGAGAAAGTTCTGTTTAGTTCATGCCCATTTCTTTATTGGTTCATTAGTTTTGGGAGAATTTAGTTTTTTAAGTTCCCTATATATTCTGGTTATCAGTCCTTTGTCTGATGTATATTGGCAAATATTTTCTCCCACTCTGTGGGTGTTCTCTTCAGTTTAGAGACCATTTCTTTTGATGAACAGAAGCTTTTTAGTTTTATGAGGTCCCATTTATCTATGCTATCTCTTAGTTGCTGTGCTGCTGGGGTTTCATTGAGAAAGTTCTTACCTATACCTACTAACTCCAGAGTATTTCCTACTCTTTTTGTATCAACTTAAGAGTTTGGGGTCTGATATTAAGATCCTTGATCCATTTTGAGTTAATCTTGGTATAGGGTGATATACATGGATCTAGTTTCAGTTTTTTGCAGACTGCTAACCAGTTTTCCCAGCAGTTTTTGTTGAAGAGGCTGCTATTTCTCCATCGTATATTTTTAGCTCCTTTGTCAAAGACAAGTTGTTATAGTTGTGTGGCTTCATATCTGGATCCTCTATTCTGTTCCACTGGTCTTCATGTCTGTTTTTGTGCCAGTACCATGCTGTTTTTATTGTTATTGCTTTGTAATATAGTTTGAAGTCAGGTATTGTGATACCTCCTGCATTGTTCTTTTGACTGAGTATTGCCTTGGCTATTCGTGGCCTCTTGTGTTTCCATATAAATTTACAGTAGATTTTTCAATCTCTTTAATGAATGTCATTGGAATTTTGATGGGAATTGCATTAAACATGTAGATTACTTTTGGGAGTATCGACATTTTTACTATGTTGATTCTACCAATCCATGAGCATGGGAGATCTCTCCACTTTCTATAGTCTTCCTCAATCTCTTTCTTCAGAAGTGTATAGTTTTCCTTGTAGAGGTCTTTCACATCTTTTGTTAGGTTTACACCTAGGTATTTGATTTTTTTTGAGGCTATTGTAAATGGAATTGTTTTCATACATTCTTTTTCCGTTTGCTCATTGTTAGTGTATAGAAATGCTAATGATTTTTCTATGTTGATTTTATATCCTGCTACCTTGCTATAGCTATTGATGATGTCTAGAAGCTTCTGAGTAGAGTTTTTTGGGTCTTTAAGGTATAGGATCATGTCGTCTGCAAATAGGGATATTTTGACAGTTTCTTTACCTATTTGTATTCCTTTTATTCCTTCTTCTTGCCTAATTGCTCTGGCTAGGAATTCCAGTACTATGTTGAATAGGAGTGGAGATAGTGGGCATCCTTGTCTGGTTCCTGATTTTAGAGGGAATGGTTTTAATTTTCTCCGTTAAGTATAATGCTGGCTGTAGGTTTGTCATATATAGCTTTTATAATGTTGAGGAACTTTCCTTCTATTCCTAGTTTTCTTAGAGCTTTTATCATGAATGATGTTGGATCTTATCAAAG